TTATAATTTTGGGTAAACTACATTATCTCTTTTAAGATTTGAACAAAATACAATTAATTTTACATTTTCTACATAATTATATTGATATCATTTCAGGTTTTAATTTACATAACAATTGGCTAAATGTATCAAAATTAATACAAATATTGTAAAGATACAATGATAAATAAAAAAAAAACATATATTTTATTGATAAAAATAGATCTAATTGTTATATAAATTAAAATTTTAAAGAAATTCAACATAATATATTAAAATTGTGAGACTTCTATTTTTTTCAAACTTTAAGGAATAATTTATTGAAAAATTATTTTACAACGGGCTCAATTTGACTCGCTTATAGATTATAAAAGGGGTTCCAATGAGCCCATTATTACAAAGTCAAGAGCCCAGCCCGAGCCACTCGACTTTGTGTTGTGGATAATTGATGGGCCATCTTAAGCCTCACCCAATACCACCATGAAGTTGGGGTTTGTCACATCAAGGGTGCATATCTGGGCTTTGTTTCTTCAGAACGTCCCAGCCCATGCGAACATTACAATTACATCAAGATGGCCCAGCCCATGTGAAATCAACATGGCCCTTCATTTCTTTTTGAAAAATTATATGAAGAGCAATAGGGATTAAATGAATTATTAAATATTTTACACAATAACAGTCATATAAATATTGTGTAAAATATTTAATAATTTATTGGAGATTTTTAAAGTTTTTGTTACATGAATTTATCATCATTATTTGTGTTTGGCCAACATTTTTCCCTTTTTTTTTTAATTTCAAAAAAATTAAAAAATATAAATTAAAGCATGCTTCCTATTTTTGTTTTTCAAAACATGAATTCAGTTGTCAAAATTTCCAAATTTTGAAAACTCCTAAAAATTGCTCTTTTTTTTTAAAAAAAAAATAAAAATCTATAAACCCAATATAGATATATATATTTTTTAATTTTAAAACCATATGTGTGTACCAACTTCTTTTTTTTTTTTTCATTTGTTGTAAAAAAAAAAAAAAACATGGTTTTTTGTTTTGTAAACAAAAACCAGAAATCAAGGCCCTTGTGGTCGAGTGTCATGTAGCCGCGCCTTAGGGTGTGGTGAGTGGAAAGTTTGTGGTTTGAGCTGATGGATCAACAACAACTCCTTTATGGACTTTGCTACAAACCCCCACTGGGAGTCGACCCCCAGTGAGGTGGCAGCGTGCCATTCGTTCAAATCACAAAAAAAAAAAAATAAATTTTGCCCAATAAAAAGCCTCCGTACATGACCCTAGTGCCCCCTCACTGGGGTCATAGGCATTTTTGAATTACTATATTAGTTTTATATATATTTACATAAAAAATTTAAAAATTATTAAAACAATATATTCTGGCCAATTAATTAAAAAGTAAAAAAAAAAAAAAAAAAAAATCCCTTTTTATTTTTTTCACACATTTTTTTTATAAAAAATAAAAAAAAAATTAACTAAAATATTCCATTCTCAAACCACCATGTCAAGTGATTTTTAAAAGAATATCACATAATAGTTATAAAAAAAATTATGATATTAATTATTAATATTTATTATATTTTTTAATTATTAATTTC